GGCCTGCAGGACTCCGTCTTCTGGTTCACTGCGGGACCGGCGGTCCGGCCTGCAGGACTCCGTCTTCTGGTTCACTGCGGAACTCACTTTTACTTTTCATCCAAAACAGGAGAACCGACACGGCCCGGTCGGCACTGTGTCGTCAGAAATGTTCCCTTCTTGTTACGTGTTGGTTCTGACAAAAGATCCATTTAACCTTGAGGACAGGAGGACATTTTGTCCTGAAGGTCCTGTGATCTGCCCGTTAGCTCCGAAGCTAACGGTAGTTTTTGTTCTGTTTGAATAAAGCACATGTTGTGATGCCTTAATAAAGTTTTTCAACCAACGCTCTCGTTAACTGAAGAAGTTTATTTGAGTTCAGAGACAAACGGATCAGGTCCAGGACTCTGTCCCTGTTTTATTGAAGCTTTCTGAAGACCCAGAGAGGACCCGAGGTCAGAACGAGGAGCTTCAAGTCTGTAAGCTGCTCAACAACCAAAGCTTTCGATATAAAAGTCCAAACAGTTTGTAGGTCAGAGTCTGGAGGATCAGGACAGAACCAGCAGTTTCTGGTCCAGATCAAGTTTGGACCAGGTGCAGGTTCTGTTGTCTCTGACCCACCATCAGGACTGATGTCTCACCGCTCCAACGAGTTCAGACTTCATCAAGTGTTAGAGCGTGCAGTCGTCCATCTGAAGTCCCAGCATGCATCAGTCAGATGGAGGACACACAATCAGGTATCGGTGCCTTGCTCAGAGGCACCGCCGCCTCACAGCTGCTTGGGTTTATCACGGCACCGCAGCAGGCTGGCGTAGAGACGCAGGAAGGAGCAGCAGACGCCCAGCGAGCAGTACACCGAGGTGACCAGCAGGGGGAGGAACGGCAGCCTGTGTTTCCACGGCGACAGAGGGACCACCCCCTCACAGGCCACAGCCACGCCCAGCAGGCCCAGCAGGTAGACCACCTCCAGGGGGTGGAGCAGAGGACCACTGAGGGGAGAGTAATCTGATTATTGTGACAGATAAAGTTACTGTGAAGAGAGAGTACAGAGCTTTACCTTCACCTGACATGAATAAAAATGACTGAATATGAAGGAGAGTAAGGTGAGAAGAAACACCTGGAAACACCTGGAAAACTCAGAGAGCAAAGGTGCCCTGGCCCCCCATGGATGAAACGAGGTTCTGGTTTCAGACAGGTGTGTGTATGAAGTGTTGGGGGGTCAGACAGGTGTGTGT